ATTACGCATTGGAATTTGATTTAATCTTAATTTGATACTTTGATAATATGAAATATGAGACAAGGAATTTCTTAGCATTATTTCACACACAAATTAGGTCTACTTTGGAATTTATTACCAGACTGTAGAAGTAGCCTCCCGCATGCTTTGGCAGACTTCTAACTTATCAGGGAAGAAGGCTATCATCTTAGCTGATGTCATTTGAGGGAGCCAATTTCCATGAATGAACTAAGCAATGGCATTCTGTAAACTGAGAGCATTCTCTAGGTTCATCAGTCCTCATTCGAGTCCTAAAGCAGTCCAGGTCTCTTCGACAGATGAAACCAACAGGAGAGAAGCTAAGTTTATGTTTCAATGAGTACTATCGGCTTCCTCGAAGACATAACACTCCGTCAGTCAAGCCGGCACATGCGCTGTACAGGAGGAGACAAATTTAGGGTGGCTATATTGAGCAGTCCGTCCAGTGACAACTATTGGTCCATAATATATTAGGGTTCTGTTGCTAGCCAAGTTTTTGTCTAGAACACCGCATTCCTTTGACGTGCTCTCTCCTCTACCTTTTATTTCCCCTGTTCTGCCAGATCTACGTAGTAGGTCCAATGCTGGGCTCCGCAATCGCGACCGTTTTTCACGAATATGTCTTCGCCATTGACGCATCCTTCGCCCGCAGTCGATTGTTCACAACACGGTGGAAGTTCGATCGAACCCGATTCTACGGTACACGTGGGAACTCTCGGATCCCCTTGGGCCTGCCGCTTGACGTCGAAATGGCGGAGCGGAAAAGCGAAAGTAAGGAGGGTGAGAATCTGCTTTCCAGACAACCGGCTAAGCCTATACGACGACCTGTTTAATTGCTCAGCCCGATTCTGGCGTCCCCAGCAAAATCTTGTTGGGACCCTTTTAATACCAAACGCCGGCCACAAAGCCTGATGCAACGTTGTAAGGCGTTCATGATGGCGTCAGTCGCATTCCTACAAAAAAGATACTAAAGCACACCGCAAACCGGTCGCCTGCTCCGAGGGCCGACCTGCCATGGGGTCTCGGCCCCTAACAGCCCCTATTCAGACTAACTTTAGTCAAAATTATGCCGCTTTATAAATTTTTATTTTCCTATTTCCTTGCCATCATACTGAAAACTAACGTTTGCACTTTTACCTTAGTTTAAAAAGCTTCACTATTTCACATACAATCCCACCTAATTTTACACAGGCTAAAACTGGTACATTGTGGTCTACGCATAAATCTTGCTCTGGTAAGACATAAAGTAATATTTAATTTAAACTCACTTCAGCTTGATCATATCAATGCTTCCTTGGCTCTGTAATCCATTTGATTATGTTTGTCTCCACAAGGTCTGCCTGTCGGTAGCCCTGACACCACACAGTCTCGACCCCTTGAGGGCCGTACAAAACCGAATTTCTAGAGGTTTTTTATGTGTTTACCTAAAAACAAATATAAAAGGCTACGCAAATGAGCATATAAAATCTACCTTTTTAATAAACTTCCAAGGCATTCATCGAGGTAATTCCATGCAGGGCGGCAAGTTATTGTATAAGCGAGAAAATGTCTCTTGTAATTCTGTGCATATCACACATGTTCCCTGGCAAAAGGCGTCAGCGTCACCGTTGAACGCCCGCATGGCAATCAAGTGGTTGTAGTCCTGTCAGGCCCCGCAAAAAGCAAGCTCAAAAGTGACGAGCTCAACAAACTGGCCCGACACGCATCCTCCGCTTGAAAGCCATCATATTGCCGACATTTCATCCAACCATAGCCAAGGCTTGGCTCCTTAACGATGGGCATTTGAAACATTTAGGGCCTTGGGACACGCAATTAGACCCCGTGTTGTGGAGAATGGGAAACTAGGTCGAGTTAAGACGCCCATTTCTAGCTTTTTTTCCGGGCTCACCTGCCCAGGTCATATTGGACCATTATTGCCGACCCGAGAAGAGGCATTTAATGATGCGATTCTAGGATCCCGATTCTGGGGAGGTAGCAATAATTCGACTGTGACTCTAATGTCAGCTTGAATCCTGTCGACAGGGTCTATGTTCTCGCCAATTGCTCGGGAAACATTCAGCCATCACATTTTTCTCTTCGACTC